AAAAATCCATATGAACAACTTTTTTTTTGTCAATTTAACTTAACTCAGCAATTAAGAGCTTTAATATTCTGTATATATGTGTAAAATCTGATCAAAATCGGTTAGCTTTTCCATATAGAACCTATACGAAGTTATATTCAATTTATGTTTTTGCAAGGGTATTAAATATTCGGCACTTCAAAATAAACGGTTCTGTATAGCTTAAATTTAAATATAGAAGCTAAAACTCGTGAGTATACAAAACGGCGATCAATTGCCTGAATGATATTTCCTGAGCAAGTCATGTGAGGGTTTAAGAGGAAAAGAGAGAGAGAGAGAGAGAAAGAGAGAGAGAGAGAGAGTGGGAGAAGGATAGAGAGAGCGAGAGAGTATGCCGAGCTACCTAACCTTATATGTAACCCTCATGCATCAAGCCGAATATCGTGTACAGCACGCTACCTAAGTGATATGCCTGAAGAGAAAGGGAGCGATAGAAAGAGAGAGAGAGAGAGGGCTAAGAAGGAAGGAGAGCAAATTGTAGAGAGAACGAGTCATATGCGTGGTTGGGATTGAAATCACTTCGGAATGCTGCCTCAGTTCTCATTTTGTAAACGAGACGCGTACTACGGAAAATCCTGCAATAAACGGAAGAAAAAAACAGAAAAAAGCGTGTCCTTCGCGAGCAGTTAAAATATGAAAAATTATAAGAACAAATAGAAAAAAGAAGGTTAACCAATACAGAAGATAACACCAAATGGAGCGACGCCGTGCGCTCAGTTCCTATGCCAAGCTCAAGGAGCAGCAGCAGGATAACAACGGAGAGCAGGAAGAGAAGGACGAGCTGCCGGCTTTGCATCGCTCGCACTCGGTGCGCTCCTCGTTGCGGCGCCTCAAGAGCAAGCTGCACAGCCCCGCCCTGTCGCTGCAGTCGCCTTTCAAGCTGCGTCCGCATTTGCATTCGCGCAGTCGCAGCAGCCGGACGCTGGACAAATCCAAGGCCGTGAAGGCGTTGCGTTTGTGGCATGAAATTGAAAAGGTTGCCGTGGTTACCAACAAAGTGAAGGGCGAGTTTGTGCCGCTCCAGAAGCAGACAATGCAACAGCAGCACGGCGAGGGGAAGGGGCAGCAGCAGCAACTGGAACTGGGCATTGAGCAGCTGATGTCCACGCTGCCCGTGGGTGTGGCACTGCCACGCAAAGCCTGCCAGCTGCTGCAAATACCTGAAAGCTTCTGTCGCATCGCACCAAAAGCCACACTCGACTCGGATCTGGAGCATAGTCGCCTGGGCAGCGAGTCGCCAAAGGCCAGCTGTGATCCCGTTCTGGCTGAGATTACGCGCCACGCCCCCCAGGGCATCTATGGAACAACACGCATGCGAACGGCCACCATCAGGAAACCGATGCCCTATTTAAACAGTCGTAGGTGTTCATTTTTGAGATATATTTGAGTGCTCAGCTATTATATAAACTGACTGATTGATTGATTGACCGATTGACTAATTGGTAATCTACGTACAGTTCAAACTTTGGGAGCTAGGCAGCTGAAATTCTTACTGTTATCTTTTGGTGTGTTATATTCGTGATCTAGAAAACTACACCGCTAGAAAACTACACACTATGCATGACAGTTGTAATGATTTTATAAGTGGAACGCCCAGTTGTGTTTATGTGATTTTTCTCCCGGATAAGCGTGTTTTTTTGATTACCCTATTTATTGCGCTCAACAGAAATCTAATGATTATCTGTTTGTGATTTTGATTTCGTTTCATATACCCTAAAATGAGTTCAGTGAACTCTTTGCCTGTTTTGAAATTGTTTGAAAGGTTTCTTAAGGGTTGTCTGGCATCAAAAGGCGCTAAAAACTGAACTGCAATTAAGTAGATTCGTTACATTTAATGAATAAAAGCAAAAGTTATTTCTTCTGTTTCATAATTTCTCCACTTGGCATATTCTAGATTTTGGAATTTATAATCTCAATGCGTTAATATGACATTGAATTATATATATTTTTACTTAATTGAAGCATTTCTTTGCTAGTTTACAAATATATTTTGGATGTTTAGGAATTTGTGTCACATACTTGAGTTAGGGACCGGATTTTTAAATAAATTCTATACTATTTTTTTTTTGTGTCGAAAATAAGACTAAATAAATTTCAGAGAAACTTATTCAACTCACACAAGATCTAGAAACATGAAGTCAATTAAACGAAAATAAGCTGTCAGCTTAGAAACTTACAACAATTATTTAATTACCATTTAATAATCTCCATTGCATACTTCTTGAATTGTAACCAAATTCCATTTAACAATCAAGTCTCAAATATCTCAACCGATTGAATTGAATATTGATTATGGCCACATATCATGGCTTGGGTTTTTCAAATTCAAATGGGTTAATCAATGCCATTAGGGCCAGCTGCGGCCAAGGACAGTGGCTCAATGAGTAAATGGCCAACATGGCACACAACTCCATTACAATTTCATAATTAAACATAACAGAAATGCTTGTGAGATTTTTGTTTGTTTTTTTTGGGCATGCTGCATAAATTGAAATTATTCGCACGTGTTGTCTGATGTTGCAGATGCCACCAGAGCAACAACGACAATAGCCACGCCTCGCAGAAGCTGCAGATGGGCAGCTGCCTGCGCTCCCCGGCGCACTTTATACGACAAAAATCATTTCACACGCTCAACGAGCTCTCAAAATTCTGCCAGCTGAAGACGCCAACAGTGACGGCGACAGCGACAGCGACGTTGACGTCAACGTCCACACTGCAGCCGCGCGGTCATTATGCCAATGATGGTAAGCGTGTAGCCCAGCGCACCACTCAACCACCCACATGTGGCTCAATTGAGACTGGCCGCCAAAACGCGCACAGCTAATTAATGGGTCAGCTTGAGGTGCGGGTTGTGGGGTACGGGTTGCGGGTTGCGGGTTGGTGCACAGCGGGGTTACAGTGGCAATAACACCATGCATAAGCATTTTTTCTACATACAAACCCAGCCGCATACTTTTCTGATTCTCTTTAACGCACTTATCCGAAAAAATAAGCTCAACAATTTTATTGAATAGCTTTTTATTATATTATAATGAAATATAAAAGCTTGGGCATTAAAATGCATCCAACAAACTAATTAAAACTTAAATTTTAATTAAATTTCAGCGAAAAAATATATTAAAAAATCTTTTCTATAATGCTTTCAACTGAAATAACATAAAAGGTTCAAACAGTTTAAAAATGTTTTCAAAAAGTTTAAAATGTGTAATTGCAATTTTTTTAAATAAACCTCTTTTTATAGTTTGCACAAGCGATTAAAAAAAATAATTCAATTACAATTTAAAACTTTTGTTTTTAAATAACACTTAATATCGCTTTGAAATATTAGCGTAACTTTTAAAGTTGTAACGTAAATTTAAAAATATTTAAAGGTTATTTAAAAAAACAAACTTAAACTTTGAACTGAACTGAATGGGTTTTTTATTCAAAATCCATTAAAAATATAAGTGTAATACCAAGCTATGCATTAAAAATTGAAAATGATTCTAGTACAATTAAAAAATTCTATTAAAATAAATTATTTAATTTCTTAAAGTCAAAAAATTTTTTAAATTAAACATTTGTATTAAATATTGTTTGTTTCATGAAAATATCAGATATTTGCCAGTGAAGAACTTCTTTTTATGGCTTTCGGTTTTAGGGCTGTGAATTGAATCAGAAAAGTAAACAGTTTATTCCGGACTAAATTTCATTTTAACTTTGGGACATTGCGTAATTAAAAGTTGTGGCTGGATGGTTGGTTGGGTGGTTATTGGTGGTTTGCTTGGGTGGGTTTTGCTATGCTATTTACGCTGCTGGGCTGCCACTGCGATCTAATCTAGCGCTGCTTTAGTGCATGCCACATAACACACACACACACTCACACTCACACACAATTGCATACACATGTAACACACTCACATGCACACACGCAGTGCTGCATTGTTGTGCATAATTAATAAAATTGGCTTTTGGTCATTCAACAAAACAAAAACAATTGCAAACAAAAGCGTCTGACGGGACACATTAGTGAATAATAATTAATTAATTGCAATTGCTGGCAATTAACGAGCATATCCCATATTTATATATACACATCTCTCGTTTACATCGGGCTCTAACTGGTTTATTTTCATTTGTGTATAGCATTTATGTATGCATAATTTATATTAAACATTTCATTTAATATTAATTTTAAATAATTGCATTTTTTGTTTAATTACAACTTATGATTTCTATCCCAAATCCAACACCCGCCAACTCCCCACCCGCAAACAGACAACATTTTGCCCGGTTCGTGTGAGGGCGAGCTCTTTGAGCCAGTTAAACTGCGCGTTAAGCATCAGCCGGAGGCGCTCGACTGTCAGGATAACAACAATCAGGACAACTATCCCACCTATTATACCGCTGCGCTGCTGTCGCCGCCAAGCAGCACCTTTCGCTGGTCGGAGCAGCTGACCCAGCATGCGGCTGTAGCCAAGCTGCGCACTGCCATTTCATGCCACGCCCAGGATCTGCGCGAAATGGAATTCCTGTTGCCACAGCAGCAGCAACAGCATCAGCAGCAGGCGCCGGCCGGCCCACAGCTACGCATCTCGCGCCACTCCCAGCCCAAAAATGCCAAGCTGCGCGACGAGCACGAGGATCGGATGCCCGAGCACGAACAGCTTCCAGGCACGGATGAGAACATCGCGGCCAATGTGCAACAGCAGCAGCAGCTTTCGGTGCATCGGTTTCCGGTGCAGCTGCGCAACAAAATCCCGGGCAATACGCCGCATCCGCGTGTCAGCAAAATGTCCAAAAAACAGCTAAAGCTTGCCCAGGCACAGCTGGACAAGCTGACCCAAAGCAATCTCCACTTGCACGGTAGGCACACGTCGTCGCGCTGCTTTCTGTTCGCCAATGTCTAAATTTCTAAATCCAATCACTTTTCGATTAAATTTGATGATAATAATCGTCTCTTCTCATTTCTTTATCCACAGGTCTCTTCTCCGCCGTGGAGCACGGACATCTGGATAAGGCTCGCACCATACTCGAATCCACCGACGTGGATGTCAATAGGTAAGTGCTAGTGAGCAGGTAAATGGGGTGAAGAGAGGAGTGTGAACCCTTTTGCATATTACCTTCTCTAAGAAGGGGAAGACTAAATTCCCATGAAATCCCTTTTCTAACAAGTACCGCAAACCTATCAAAATATAAAGGATATAAAGGTAATCTCCCTTTTTGCTAAGTGGCCTTCAAAGAGGACAAACAATGGCTAAGAGAGTCTCAAAGTTTCATATATCATAATTGTTACTAATAAATACATCAAAAAAAGCTTATACCCTATACCCATTAAAATGGGTATAATGATTTTGAGCAAACGAAAGTAGCTGGCAGAAGAAAGCATAGGAGTTAAGCATTTAAAATATAATTTGTTTTCGTATGTCATATGCAGAGATAGTTATCAGTTTTCAAACATCTTATTAGCGATAAATATTGATTTTAAAACAAATTTTTTAGGCTTAACTCGTAGATTTTAAAAGCTAGAGACACCAAATTCCGTATGCAAGTTCGAGTTATAAAGTGTGGAGCTTTGTGCTTTGGGTCATATACACATTTGAGTGCCATTTCTAAGCGCTTTAAATTTTATAAGGTTCGGACTGTGAAGTCCGAAGTTTTTCTAGGATGACTTTTTCCAAAGTGTGGACCAAAGGGAAGCAAAAGCACAGCACAAGAAGCACGACAGCTTGGCGCTGAGTCAGACACTCCCAACTAGAGCCTCCTTGTTTTCTTTCGGCATAGTTTGATAGTTTGTGCAGTTGGCTTAAAAGGCTTAGCCCATCATTCTTAAATCACAAGCATTTTAAATGCTGTCTTAAAAAGCAAAAGTGAAGAAAAAGAATAGGGACTAGTCAAATTAGACTAACCAATACATTTAGTCTAGGTCAAAAGAAACTGACCGATTCTTAATTTGTGCGTGCTATACAAGAGCCCACATATCAAACTGGTTTCTCTATCTTATATAGAATCTGAGATAAACAAGTCTTCCATCCATTGCACTGCAAGACTGACCTCTGATCTTCTAGGAACGGCTCTTAGAAGAAAGAGGGCTGCCTACTTGGGATAAAGGAAGATCCTTTGTACTTGAGTTATTCTCTCCCGTAGCAAATTTAAATATAAGATTATTTTTGATTCAGTATTCACACATTTTTTCACCGATCCACAGCATCAATTCGGATGGACTCTCAGCGCTGGATGTGGCCGTGCTGAGCAACAATCGCTCCATGACTAAAATGCTACTGCAGCATGGTGCCCTGGAGGGTAGTCAATGTATATGATTTGCCGAACCGTTCAAGGATGTTTTAACTAATTTTCAATCTATTGCCATTTGCAGTTTCCGTGGACAGCATTGGCACCAAGCTGAACGGCCTGCTCAAAGATGCCGAGTCACGCATACACGATCTCAGCGGACCGGAGGGGCTGTGTGCGCCCGTCTTTACATCGCGACCCTCCATATCCAGCATTATAATTGGTGAGAGAGCTCCTCAATGCCAATTAAAGCGCATTCCTTATAAGTTTCCATTTGGATTTCAGGCAATACGGGCTCCTCGGTCACCGGCTGCACGGGCAACGAGGTAGACAAACAGATTGGCATTTGGGAGCGACGTGTCAAGGGGCTGCGCCGTATGCTTCTTGGCTGGGACCAGGCGCGACCCCCAGATGCACCCGCCTCCGTTGTAGTCGATGTAACCGGCGACAATTCCATCAGCTTGCAAATACTCGAGCCCTTTGAGGGCGCCATCGGCACCAAATTCAAAGGTAAAGCCACCCAACCCAGTGCTGCGGTCAGCCGCAGTTCTGCGGTCGCCAGAGATTTGATTTGTTGTTGACATTTCTCCATTTACCGCAGTTCAATGGTCAACTCGCGCCGACTTCAACAATGTGGTCGGCGAGCGGGAACTGCTCGAGTGGATTAGTTTTCATGGCACCATGGGCGCCCAGTGCCACATAGCTGGCCTTACCCAGGGCCGCCGCTACTTCCTGCGCGCCGCCTGCGGCAATGTCAAGGGTTGGGGCGCCTATCGCAATTCGGTGCCGGCCAGCGTTGTACCCTCAAGTGAGTAGCCGTGGAGGGGGCAGCCTTTGACCCATTCACAGTAATTGGAATGGCTGCTGACAAGGCTAGACTTTATAGACAAAGCAAATTTATTTTATTTCGTGACCTATCCTCTGGTTTCCCTACAGCCTGGCGTGACTTGGATAATCGGGAGGATCGTTTCTATGGCCGCCAATGCATATTGGACAATCTCTTTACGGCCGTACGTTTGGCTCGACCCGCAGATGTTTCAGAGCTAACGCTAGATCCGTGCAGCGTGCAGCGGCGCAATCCTAAGAAAAAGACGACCATCAAGCAGCTTTTCTCGGTCACCTCCAAGTTCCAGAAGACGCTGCGACGGTAAGACTAAACAGAGATATGCATAACCTGTTTAGAAATTAATCCATTTCTATTCCATGGTCTAAACAGCGGCATCTACTTCTCGTGCATTGTGCACTGCGATGACAAGGTGCTGGTCACCAGCGAGGACTTTCCGCCTGTCATTGAGATCGATGAATCATATCCGAGTGCATTGCACATGGACTACTATTGGCTAATGAAGGTCGCCTGCACTTGGGAAGATGTGAAATCGTTGCGCACGGACATGGAACGGAATCTGACCTCGCCGGTACACTTTCGCACCAAACTGCTGTCGGCCGTCTGCCAGATGCAGTCGGCGCTGGGCATCAACGATCTTGGCCAGCTGTATTATAAACCACTCCGGGATGCACAGGGCACCGTGGTGCTCACCTGCATTCAGTCGGTGAAGAGCCAGAAGGCTGTCTCCATCATCAACTCACGCTGGCTGCCGGTCAGCAAGCTCCAGAAGAAGTTGGGTGCCCTGCACGAGGATTACACCATCAACGAGCTGCTCATCTCGAGCATTGGCGAACAGCTGCACTATCAGCAGGCAGCGCTCCAGCGTCTAGAGCCGGGTCTCTATTTGGGCTATCTGAAGATGCAGTGCTCCATGGATCAGATACAGGTGGTCGTGCCGGTAAAGACACCCAACGTGCTACCCCACTGTAAGGTGCGCGAGAATAGCCACATTACGGCCGAGGAGTGGCAGGTGCTGCACCGCACCGAGAACAATCCGCTGCGCCTGCCGCTCGACTTCAGTACACCAGGCGATGGCAATGGCAACAGTCCGGCAACCGAGGTGCAGCGCCTCTTCCTACACGATCTCAGCAATGCGATGCACAAGCTGTTGGCCAGCATGAGCATTAAGGCAACGGATGCGGCCACGCATCGCCTCTACGATGTGGAGGTCATAGAGCATAGTCGCGATATTAGCTTCCTAATTGTGTGCCCCTCGGTGGAGTCATCCTGTGCCGTGCCCGGCCAGTCCGAGCTGCTGCTGCAGCGCGACGATCTGGTCAGCCTGAGCATACAGGCCTTCGAGATGATCCATCTGCGCACCTATCAGCCGGCCATTGTGCAGAAATATGCACGACTCTCCTGCATCCTTGAACTGGACACGGCGCTGGCCACGCACTCGCATCGCGAGGCCTTCTCTAGCAGCGAACTGCAAGCGGCCAAGGAGCGTCTGGCCACGCTGCAGGAGCTGAGCGCCAATCTGACGCTGGTGTGGAAGAGCGTTCGCTGGCTAATGGATGTGGTGGCCTATGCGCGCAATAAGCATGCCCAGCCGGCGCTGGCCATGCGCGAGATACTCGACTTTTCCCAGCTACGACACGAGGAAGGCGAGGGCAAGCAGCTGCTGCAGCTACCGCTGCGCGAGACCAGGTTCAGCAAGACGGGTCGCGGCAGCTGGCCGGGTCCGGGTGCCAATGAGGATTGTAACAGGCAGAACAAGCCGGAGCATTCCAAATCTGAAACGAATCTGGGTCAGAGCGCCCAAACGTCTACGTCAGCGCAAGCCACACTTCAAGACGAACACGACAAACAGCCGCAGCAGCAACAACAACAACAACAGCAGCAGCAGCTGCTCCAGGTGACGGGCAGTGAGTACGCCGCCTCCACTTGCTCGGATGTCTCGCTGCGCAAGAACAGCGGCGACTCCGTGAGCTCCGCCTACACTGCGCGCAGCTTTTACTCCGCTGCAGACTCGGCCTCCGATGGCAGCAGCAGCGTCTTTGCGCTGCCGCCCTCCCGCTCCGATGACACGCTGGCAGATGCACTGCGTCATTCTCAGGCAGCAGCCGCCGCGCAGCGCAAACGCACCAGCTCCAACATTGGGCCCATTTCCACGCCGCTCATCACCGTGCACAGCTCCAGCTCGGCTCCTTATCTGGCCGGCTCCAGTGTCTCGTTGCGCACGGGCAGCGGTGCCTTCGCCACGGATCTGGAGCACAAGCCGCTGAAGCCTGCCGCGGAGTACAGGGTGAAGGCTGCCTCCAGTGCCAATTTGCGCGAGGGCGGACTTTATTTGAAGAGCTCACTCTCGGCACTGCAGCCGGAGCTGAGGCCGCTGGGCAGTAGCGAAGAGCCCGTGGCCAGCACCTCGAAGGCCTCCTCCACCAAGAGCCTGGCGCACCACAGCAGCGAGGAGGACACGGCCAGCTGTTCCAGCCTCAATGCCGAGCAGAGCTCGACGGGCGCAGGCATCATTCAGGTCTACACCGCCTACAACACGGGCCTGGCCAGCGGCACCAGTCTCAAGCTCCACGTGACGCCCAAGACAACCGCCCGCGAGGTCATCAACCTGGTCGTCAAACAGCTCAACATGGCCGCCGTGCTGAAGGGCAGCAAGGGACCCATCTATAGCGCCGACATGCTGGACAACTTTTGCCTCGTCGCCGTGATTGGCGCCCGGGAGCGTTGTCTGCGCGACGACTTCAAGCCGCTCCAGCTGCAGAGTCCCTGGAAGAAGGGCCGCCTCTATGTGCGGCAGAAGCACGAGCTGCTGGCGGCTATTGAGCATTCCAATCGCAAATCCCATTTGATTTAAGTGCTGCTGAAACAGCTCGATTATGCTGAAGTGCACAGCTAGCAGGGCCGCAAGCGAAGTTTCAACTCGGGTTTCCAATTCGGTTTCTTATGAGCAGCACAAGGAACAAACGAAATCATGTCGAATTCCGTATTATGCCGATTTGTAACGAATATAAAAAGACATTTCCTGAATATGTATTCAACAGCCAAGTCCTTCTGTCCATCTTTTAGTTTAAAGGAATCAAATTACAATATTCTATAGCTGCCATACGAATGGTCTATATAAATCTATTTTGAAATATTAGGTTTTATTCGTACATAATTCTGAAGCACAACCTTTCAAAACACATTCATATGCTTGCATAATTTGTTAAAGAACGAGCAAATATCAATTCCAAAACTTCTGAATATCTGAAAAAGTCATAAAAATTTACTAATAGATATTCCACTTCCCATTTCCCCACATCCCAAAAGAGATTTTTTCTTCAAAAAGGTGTAAAGCATGTCAGAAGAGAAGCTAGAGCTTGAATCTTTATAAAGGTTCCACGCTGTAGAAAACCAGGTTCACAAAACGAACCGAAAAGCTGTGAACTGGAACAACCGACGATTTGATTTAGAACGTGCAGCCCTGATAGCTTTGAAATACTCTAGCAATCAAAATTGTACCCTACACAACACACACACGTGACGCACACACACTTAATTATTATTGTTGGCTTCTTGATTTGGTTTTTGCTTTTTGGGGGGCTCCACTGTGCCCAGCCAAGTTTGACGACCAAATTCCCAAATTAGACTGAATTACTTACATATGTATGTATGTTGAAAGAGGACAAAAGATGAAGTTATATATGAAATTGTAATGAAATGGTATTATATTTTAAATAGTTTTATACACCCAGACACACACAAACACACACCATGCGCATACATATGTATATACGGCACATAAATTAATTGTTGCTAGTTGTTTTAGAAGCTTGTTTAAGCGTAAGTGCAACAAATTACACCAATATTATAATGCATATAGATTATATATACATATACATCTATATCTATGTTTTACATAATTATGTGTATTTTATTGTAACATATACTATATTATATATGTATTTTTGTAGTTTAGCAAACAAAATGTTTTGATTGTATTTTTGTGGCAATTTTTTAGGCGCACGCATTTTTTAATATGTAAAAATCTGAATGTTGAAACGAACAAGAAAATTAGTTTAAAAATTATATTAAAATGTCAAAAAATATAAATGTATACATTTTAAGTGAAAACTCTCTTGATGTATGTGTATTGTATGTGTTCTCTATAATTACAATTAACAATTCCAATCGGATTATACAAAATACTTAAGCATAGTTTCTAGATTTTACAGCTGGCAAATAGAAAGCGAAATATTTTTTAAAAATATATTGGCATTAACTAAATGTTGAAGATATGTAACAAAAAAGAAAAAAAAACGAAAAAGAAAAAGAAAAGAAAAGCAACTGAACAAAACACAGATATTGAAATTGCATTGTTGTATTTATTAAATGTAGTTTATGGCGCGAATACCCTGTAAAAACGGGTGTGCAGCTTAAAGTTGTTTGCAACTAGTCCAGAAATGTTTTGTGTTTAGCTAAGTACTCGGTTCTTGTTCTAGTAAGTTCTGCATGCCCCCTAGCTATACGGCCGAAATCAGCATTATTCAACTACAGTAAGCATCCCATATGGCAGATAAAGTACTTTGTGTGAATTTCAAATAAGTGCGCTAACTAAATATGCAAAGTGTTAAATGTCTATAACTATAGTTATATACATAGTTATACTCCGTAATTCTAAATGTGTATGTGTAAATTAGCTGAGAGTTCTTCAGATCTATGTGTTTACTGTAAGCTAATCCTCTTCAAGTTTCTACCCTACCCTATTCAAAATCTTGCAGCTAGAGGATTCCCGTACCATAAAACAAACAGCAGATGGCAAAAATTAAGTGAATTTATTATAAACCAAGAGTCCATTATATTAAATTATGAATAATTTAAGATGAGACTACGATACGACCAACACAGCAAATGTATTGTGTACAAAAGTTTTGTAAATATTTATTCAACATTTTTTGATAAAGTTTTTTATCCTGGATTAACCAGTCCCAAGGCACGAGGAACAGCAACGAACCTAACTAGGAATTAGCTTAAGCTACGATCCCAATCCCGATCCCCAAAAACAGAGCTCAGTTCGGATCTGACATAAATTATCTAAAACAACGAATTCATTCGCATTGAATTGTGTTAGTTAAATTAGTTGTATTTGTTATTTAGTGCGAAGAATTTAACAAATTGTCAAAAAAAAAAAACAAGAAAAACCGCCGTCCGTTCCCCAAAGAGATTGTTTACAAAGTATTATTATTATTTTTCCATTCGCAATATGATGAGAAATATAGTTTATGACGCAATCTAATTGTAACTTATTAATTAAGGTGTTAGAGGTCGAATACAAGTATACTCTATGGCACACATACATACATATATATATACACACAGTACATCATTATAATGTATGATAAATGTTTATTAGAATAGCTGAAATGTCTTTAGACTTCAAGAGGCGCATAGTGCAAATGCATAAGTTGGCAAAAGTTCTTATCAAATGTAACTCCATAAGTGAACTGCATGTTATTCAACAAAACAAAAAAACAAATCCTTAAGGATTCCGTGTGTATTTTTGGTGTCTGTTAACTATGTACAACTAAAATGAAGAAACAGCCATTATAAATAATATTTAAAAACTGTACGAAAGAAACATAAAAGATGATATACTTGAGAGATATGTATATTAAATATCGCTAACGAAATATGAGTACAGAAGAACAACATGATGAAGATTACTTATTCAATTAATTTAAATAAAGACTTAACAAATGTTATGGTGTCATTTCCAATGTACATTAATCTGTCTTATGGCTGGAATCCCGAAGAAAACAATTGTTGCTAGTTCGGGTAACGGTTCGGGACAATGCATCGTCCTGGGGCTCTGTTCGTTTACCAGATTTTTCACATGCGGAAACCACAACTTTTGACAACGCTAGTGGGGACCAATATTTATATATACGAAGGGAAATGGTTTACACATTTAAATTACATTATTTAAAAATTAAAAAAAATATTGTTTTAACTAAATCATTCCTTTAATTAAGGTTTTGCAGATTCAGTTCATTGTCCAATTGGTACCTGTTCGATTGATCATTAACTGAACGGTATTTTATTTTTAAATGCAACTGTAAAATTGCGACTTGGGCTGAGAATTAGCTAACTTCCAATATAAGCATAGTTAGTTAGTCATATATCCATCTTATAATCACACCAGCAAATGCACATGTGACTTTTATTCGATGTCGAAGTCATGAATAATTTAAAAATATTTTGTTTGCAATGATTGCATTAGTACGGGCATATTAAGTATACGGTCAGTGAGTCGTCGTTGCATTTGTTACAGTTGATTCCAAATAAAATTCGCTTTAAAATTTCAACATTTTCTATCATAGTCGTACGAACTGATTACCTTCCAGGCGGTTCCATTATATCACAATTTAGCTGATTTATGTCGAAACGTGTTGCAGACAATATTGCAGCCTTAATACCCTATCGCACAAGTCGTTTTATCTGATAATTTCCCTGGGAACTTTATCACTTGTCATCGTGCGTCACTTGTCGTACGCCCGTGACGAAATTAGCCGAAACGCTTTCCAGGCCCTTCGCCTGGAACCCCACAACGCCCACACACACGCACGAAGATCGCTAGCTAAATACTCGTCTGACTCACTCTCTCGCTATATAGCTAACTCGCTTACACTTTAGGGCTAGAAACGCAAGTCATGACGACTTCACAGTCGCTGTGGGCAGCGGCAGCAGCAATTTTTCGATTTTTGTTTTGTTTTTAGACATTTGCTGTTGTTGTTGTCGTGGGATTTTTATTACAAATATGCATGTACATATATATATATATACAAATGCATGTATGTAGCATTCTATATGCATACATACATAATATTCAATTGTTTATGTGTATTTTTCTGGAAAATAATTAATTTAATTTCACCACAAAAGTGGACACACTATGCATGGGCAAGCCTATGGTGCATTGGACCGATGACGACACTGCTTAATTAGAAACTCATATACATACATATTTGTATGCATACATACATAGTATGTACATTTCCATACATAGTTAGCGGCAAGGCCGCTGTCTATTGGCCAGCCAGAACGACTCAAAACGTGCGCTACACTCTAGTTGGGACTGTATATAACGGCTATAAAGTTCAAGTGCTTACTGATTAGGATTCCAATATATTGTTAAAGTTATTATTATAAGTTTCTGCCATTGTTTATTTTTATTTTTTTAGGCTCTTGTGGCACTTGAATTGTCGCCCGGTGGCACTTGTGCGACTTCCTATCTGATAGCATCTCAGCGGCAATATATTTAAAATGCCTTTACGGCAGTTCTAATCCCGACGGCCGATTACATAGGTGTTTATAAATAAAAAATAACGGCAAGCAGCGCAGCCACGTGATTTGTGCGGGGCCTAAGGCCAGACACAAACCCAGACAAGAGTCAGATGCGGAAAGGGTCAAATGAAGCGATGTACCTAACAGCTCGCATTACGAGACGCTGTCCCTCAGTGATTACGATAACGATTAACGATAACGACTGTTTGTTATTTAAGCGGATATATCTATGTATGTACATATATTTCCACACAGTATATGTTTATATGGTATTATAATTACATACCTATACTTGATTTTGCAAGCCCGCAAACCGGTTACCAATAACACTCACTGGATTGTGTATTGGGCCAGAAAAAAATTTTACAAATATTTGTTAGATGAAAAACAAAACGGTAATTTAGTGGTTTCAGTAACTGTTTATATTCAAAGAGAAAAAAATCAGAAAAACTGTTCACAATCAAATCGTTTGAAGCGCGCACTCAGTCGAATGGCTCTCCCTATTCTGTTCTCATCTCGATCTTGGGTTTTGTATAACAAACAATAAGTACAGTACTACATGTATACATACATATACATATACATACATACACACTATATATATATATATATATATATATATATATACTATATCAAAAATTCAGCTTAGCTTTGAACAATGCCGCAAAACTCAATTATTGGCGCCCGGCTGAGAGGCGCCCACAATGTAGCCCTTGGCCGTGAGTACGCCGCGACAGCGCACATGCACCTGGTAACGCAGAGACCAATCAATCGAGTAGCCGGGTGCTAGGCAAGAGAACTGCTCCTCGGGCAGCAGCAGCTCGGGATCACTGTGTGTGTTGAGCACCAGCTCATGATCGCGACAGAATTCCTGGAGTTCGGCGGGCACCACGCAGCAAGCGGCCAGATTCACCTGTGCTATGGTGGGCGCCACTTTGGCCGATTGGTATAACTCTGCCAGTGCGAGTGCATCGAGATCGGCAATGCCCAGCTGTTTGATTTGTTGCTTGTCCGCATACTGCTCGAGGGCCTTGTAAAGTAGCTTCAGTTCGGCTATGCCCTGGGCGCCGTTGCGTGCACTCCAGCTGTTGGCCGCATCGTTGACGCTGCTGTCGCTGCCCTCGGAGCAGGGGCTCTTTACCGACGCAGATGTTGCTGTTGTGGCCACAGTTGTTGCGCTGGCAACGGCCGACACATTGGGATGGTAGGCCAGCACCACATTGTCCACATGCGTCACATTGAGTATGTTGAGTAGTGCCTCGACTGCCTGATTAATGCACTCCGTGGAGTTTTTGTTGAGGAATATCTTTGCACCGATGCTAATCTCATTGCGTCCATTCTCCGTCAGTTTGCTGTTCAGCTCCTGTGTGGCACAGAGCACGCGGCCATGCAGCTTGTCGATCTCAACCACCACGCTGCTCTCCGACTTGGGGTCATTGTGCAGCGTGATTTTCAGGCCGTCGTATAGCTCCTCGTTGGATTTGCGCTGTCCCAGCTCGTTGTTGATGATGTTGCCCGTGCTAATGACCACATTCTGATAGTTTCTCGTTATTGTTGGTATCATTTTGCTGTTGCTATTTCTGCTGCTCACAATTTTTCTGCTTAGAATCCCGTTGTTGATAAGTGACGACTACTTCGTTAGGCTGACAATCGCACTCGTCCGTCTGTGTTGCTATTTTGCTTCGAGAGCCGTGCGCAACGGCACTTAAATACACTTTGCACTAGAGATGCCAGCACGAAACATCGATATACTGAAACATCGATTACGTTCAAATACAAAAGTTACCTGCAAAACTATCTTTTCAAAATAGTTCAAAAGAACTGAACTTACTTGAGAACAGTAATTTAGTAAATTGTATTAAAATTTAGCATACTTTCAGCTCGAAACTTGAAATGCGTGCCAACACTGATGTTTGGAGTCCCTTAAAAATTACATAGTGCATTCATTTGGAAAATCTTCTCCCTGTTCTGTTTAGTGAAGTGTGATTAGGACCATCAAGTTTTCTATATACAGCACTATGGCAGCACTGAAAATGCAAAGCGCCTGCAAAAACTGTTGTTGCAAATATATCACAGGAACAACTTCAATTCTTCTTTATTACTTATTTTCCGTTAGTTTTCTTTGCTCGTTTCAACGTGTTGCTGAACATTTATTTGAAATGGTGTTTGCAAGCTCAACAGACTTTGCCAACCCTGAAACTGATTCTTTTTGTTAGTTTATTAGGTGATTAGGAGATTTATCGAAAATTGATTTTTAGTAGTTAACATCGAGTAAGTATCGCTAATATTCAACATAATTGAATTGCGCGCCTCTATTTGAGAGCCGCGTGACAGTTATTAAAAGTTAGCTTCCTTCAAAAATCCCAAGACGGCCAAAAATGTGTACAAAAAAAGTGCGTGAATGGCTGGTCTTACTGACCATGGAAAAGTATGTTCGTTGCTTTACAGAGCATGGCTACATAACTATTGCCCAGTGCCAACAAATATTAACCAGCGATCTCATCATGTTGGGTATAGATAACCCAACCCATCGACAGCTGCTACTAACTGGTGTGCAGCTCCTCATTAATTCACCCAATCTTTTCGTTTGCCCAGAGCCGTGCGAATGGCATGTATCGAGTGCAGATCAAGATTTGGCCGAAGATTTCTTGGATACCTGTAAAATTGACTTGCAAGCAATAGATAGTACATTTAGTACGCAACAACATAGTAAAAAAAAATTTGGGTTTCTAGCCAGAACAAAACGTGAACGCAAGTCAAAATCAAAGAATATCAAGGAGAGTTTGTGCTCAGTCAACATAAAGGCCAACTTCACCTGCGTCGCCTGTCCACACTTGCAGTTTGGTCAGCTTTACGAATTGGATCAGCACATCGCCGCCTTAAAGGAGAGCAAGGATCCGTCGGCATCTCAGCACAAATACGGCGATCTCATAACCAATGTACAAGAGGCGACACCCATTATTCTAATTGAATAATTTTAAGCCAAAAGCTAAGCTTTTAACAATTAAATATAATTTATTTATAATATATTTGTTATATCTATTTGGGCTCCTATTTGAATGTTATCAATGGACTCAATATGGCATTTAGCAAATACTTGATGCCTCGCATCAAGTCCTGCATCCGTGCATCCACCGGCGAGGCGAGCAATGTCCGCTGTATGCTCACTGTGCCCAAATCCGGCGACTTGCAGTCCATGCACTCAATGGTCTTCAGTTCCACCTGTGGCGGCGTACTGGAGCCCAATATGTAGTGTTCACGCACATTGTTCGCCAGCACGCGTGAGTTGTGCAGTGTGCCATAAAACAGGACCCGATCGCCGCGATGCAGTCGCTGCGTAAAGTTCCCAAAGTCATGGTGGGCGCGCAGCACCACGTCCGAGGATGAGCCGCGTCCCAGCAGGCTGCTGCTGGCCGCCACCTGAACGAGCAACTCGTACTCGTAGCGATTCCAACGTTGCAGCGTGCAGTGTCCAGTTTGTCCACTCAGCGTCTTGATCACGCGCTGCCACTCGACGCACTGCGCCTCATGCTGGGGATCACATTGGAAATGCTGTGCAATATTCTCGCCATGTACACAGCGTAGCAACTTTCCTAACCAGGTGGGCAGATAGTTGGAAACAACATCCTCCAGCATATTAGACACGCGAGCAATTTGGACGTGTGTGATCCTACCCTCCCAGGCCACGTACATGCCATTGAGATGGGAGCAACGCAGCTGGGCTTTGATTTTGTTCGGCTGCTCCTGAACTGGCTGTGCACACAGCTCGTAAAAGCGTTCCCATTGAAGTGCATCGGGCAGAGAATGCATGCCCACATTTGGATTCGATAGCACAGTGGGCATGGCATTATAACGTGGAGTATCCTTAAAGCTAGACGTCATATAGGGAAAGACCAGCACACAGGCGGTGGTGAAGCCCACAAGCAGCTATAGGCGGAACATATAGAAGCAACTGTTGGCAATTCAATAGGAAAATTACTTACCTGCAACATGGTGATGTATTTCTGCGTGGCACGATTGAGAGCGAGGACACAGGAGAGCAGAATCACCAGGGCGCAGGCAATGGCCGTGGTGCCCCAACGCAAATGTTCGCTGGTCAAGCCCAGGCTGTCAATTGCCACGAAAACGGGCACCAGGAGCGCCACAACCCCAAAGAGGGGCAGGAACAAGACGATGCCTGCCAAGCCCAGAGCAGCACGCATGGCACCAAAGACGGTGGCACTCTGAGAGGTGACAATGCACACCTGCAGCCAGCTGAGAGTGACGCAGTGCGGGATTAGGTAAGTGTAGACGCCATGCCAGCCAGAACGCTTGGCCAGCAGCACAAGCAAAATGGGTATCAGCAGATAGAGAGCAGTGCGGCAATTCAAGCAAAACTCAATGCCATTGCCAATCACAAAGGATGAGAATGTGGGTACACGGAGATCTAGGAAGCGCCAGTGTGTGGATACAACCTCGTCCAGCTCATACGGATACTTGGCCAGCACATTAACAGCAAAGGAAACTATGACCAGCCAATCGGGCAGAAGTTGGGACGAAGCGTACATGAAGACGCCCAGAGTGATGAACGTGCTGGCGCCCGAGATGATGGTCAGCTCGGAGTGCGGTAGCCAGGCGTCTGTTACCAGCGGATAGACAATCAGATTACAAATGAATGCACAAAAGTAATACAAATACGGTTTCATATTGTTACGCAGAAAGCGCTGTTCCGAGATCTCCGCCTCTATGTTGTGATCGCCGTAGCTGAGAAACAGTCCAGACCAGATTCGGAAGTCCACGAATTGCTGTTTGGTTTTTAGCATGCGACACGTGGCCCACAGCATGACGCCCAGACTTAAATAGTAGCTAATCAGGGGCAGCATATGGCACTCGCTATCCTCCACGCTACTCCACCAGCTGAGCAGCACCAGCAGACTGCACCGCACGCTCAAGGGCAGCATGGCGGGCAGTGCGACAACCAGGTTAATGAAGCGATGATATAGCAGTGTAAAGAAGACCAGCGGATGAAAGATCATGCGATAGAAACAGGGCACATGATCTAAGCTCTGCGGATGCGGCACGGACAGGGTCAAATTCTCATTGACGGCTGGCATGCGACCGGCGGCATAGTTAGAGGCAGCCGAGACCAGATGCGCCTCGGTTATAAAACGACGACGCTCAACATTTGCACGGCCAATGGTGGCGGCATCTTCTAAAGGTTCCCGCTCGCAATCGCTGCTATCTTCATCCGTGTTGGATGAGGAGGCATCGTCACCGCCACGACGACGCCGCTTGCGTTGCAAATTGTAAATGCGTCTCATTTTGCGCTCCAGCTGCTTGGGCGTAATATGCTCGTTGCCATTGGACAAGCAAGCGAAGAGCTCGCGGGCTGCTTTGCGAGCGGCACGCTCGCCCGGTGTCATGGCCAGACAGCGGCGCACCTCGTCCGCGTTTTCGGCCGTAATGCCATTGCCGGCATTGTAACATTTGCGCAACAATCGTACTGCCTCCTCATGGCCCTGTTGGGCAGCACTGACCAGCCAATGTACAGCCTTCTGACTCTCATTGGCAACGTTGGGTTCTGTGGAGGAGATATAAAACGTGTTATTTGCATTGCTCAACGCACACGGGTACATACCAATCGCATTCTCTAGCAGCTTCTTGCCCAGATCGTATTGAACCTGAGGGCAGCCCTCTTCGGCAATGTGTTCCTTCAGTTTGTTCAGCGAGGCGCGATCTAAAGGCACCAGGAACATATTCATTTTGCATTACAAAACTTTTTCACAGCCTGCTGTGCAAAGTAATACCTTCAAGATTCCAGCGTCTCCGTTTGCTGACACCTGTCGGTGCGTTTTGTGTCCAGGTGGCCATTAAAAAGTAACAAACTGCAGATTGTTTACGATTTAATATGCAATTTAGAGTTGCAGCAAATCATTCTGTTGAAGTTCGCCGGAACGACTCACTAAAAGAACGAACTGAGTCCTTTTTGTCGTTCTATTGAGTCTGATTCTCGTTCATTTTGAAATATCAAAAGTGGCGGTTTGAATTACGGTTGTTGTTTAAAATGTAACAGAACTTTAATAAAAATGTATATCTAACAGGATTTTAAAATATACTCATTCACAATATGTACAATACTAAATATAATAAAAACAATCAATTCAAACAACAACAAAATTCAATTGTTAATTTATTTATTTACACGCAATAATATTAACATTTCTATCCTCATATGTGTGAATAGCATGTAAGTAATCGTATATATTCAGCCAATATATAAAAAAATAAATAAATAAATTAAAACTACACAAGTAAAAATATAAAACAATTGTAAATCATTTAAATGAATGGGAAAAAAGTATGATTCCGAATAAAATGTGTACATTGATAATGTACCATTTTTGGTACATTTGTACTACATGAGGCGACTCAAATTAGTAATGACATTTTGTAGTGATTGTTGTTCTTTTATCAATTAAGACTATCGATATACGCGATGAATATACAAGAACGGCCGATTGCAATAACTTCAACTAACCACAACTATCGATGGCTTATTGCCGGCGAAATTTGTTCAGTGTACATGTGTTTCTTGTTTATAAATTCAATTTATTTATTTAACGACAAAGAATGGAGCGAAGCATGCAAAAACAGCTGTATAGCATTTCACGAGAGTCATCGCCAGGTGGGCGGCGTCTAAGTATGCCCGCGGCAGCGGATAACACACGCAAATCATTTTTTGGCGGCAACGCCAACCTTGGCCACTCGCCATTGCCGGGTGGCTTAAAGAAAACTGCACTGAATAATAGGTATAGTATCCGATAAATATACGATCTGTGAAAATGCACTAATATATATTAATATGCTGCAACAGTCGCTTGAGCTTATCCGCGCGCTCCACCACCCAGTCTATACCGGGCATCAGATCCGACTACAACGTCGTGGAAAGCTATGGCCATGCACTGCCCGTGGCCGTAAACGAGGCTCTCACCTTTGCCGGACCAGGTGCGAGCACAGTTTCAGCGAAAATAACACAAAGTGGCTGGGCGTGGGTAAGTATCAACACAGTGTACATTATATACACTATCTGTCTAATAATTTATCCATAATCCAATGCAGGTTGTGCAAGGTCGTCGTCTATTGATATGGCAGTATAAGGATTCGTCTGGTGGTGTTAAGACAGGCTCGCCACCGCGACTTGGCAAACAATTAAGACGCGCCGGCACCTCGGCCCAGTGCCGCGAACTGACTCTACCTTACAGCGATATTGGGCACAAGAGCGAATTGGTCAGCGTGTTTCAGACAGAGGGTCAGCAGATGGCCTCCTGCATTGCAATATCAGCGACAGGCGAGGTTCGCTATTGGGCGTCTATAGCACACGATAATAATTCCGTGGATATATCAATTCTTACCGGCCAGGAGTTTGTGCAACTGCTGAATCTACCCACACAGCAGGGCTACCTGGCAATAACCTCCACCTGCACTTTAGTGTTCCTGCGCGTAGGTCTTACCAGCGGCCGTTATACACTGCACCACAAGACAATCAAGCCGGCGACGAGTTTTCTTGGCGGCTTTGGCAAAAGATTCGCTTCCATGCTGATTGGCATGAACAGCGGAAGCGACAGGGATCAGGTGAGCGCGCCTTCATACTGCTAATTTATAGTATTTAACTGTTATCGTCTTCTATAGTTATTGGTAGGCATGTGCTCTGAGAGCGACACAAAGAACGGTGAATCTGTTGTGGCGGTGCTTTCAGATCGTGCACTTCAGCGCTGGCGTCTATCCAACAAGGGCAACACGGAACAGCTGCTGTACGAGGATGTGGAGCTGTTGCGGAAAATGCGTGATATGCTGCTATTTAAGTTTTGGAATGTGCGTGTGCCCAACGATAATGTGGAGGTGGATTTGCATTTTATGGATTTCCATGTGGTCAGAGGAAATTACTATATACTAGTGGGTGCTGTCAACCCGGCACACACGCCGCAAATGTACTACGCCATTGGTAAGCCTCTAGTTGGATCCTTTGCCCTAATCTTAAGCTGACTAATCAAATTTTTTTAGTGGTGGCCAAGGCAGAAGCGGAGGGCATGCAGCTGGAGTGCTTTACGCCGTTGAAGCTTAACAAATTCTTTAGTAACAAGACGGTGCAGGAGTGTCTCAGCGTGCGCATCATTGTGGGACCCTCGCACATGTATCTGTACACGCCCAAAGTGATCTATCCGTTACTGTTGTCAAATGCGGCGCCCACAGCCGAAATGGAAGCCGAGAAAGTGGAGTTCCATTTGCATGAGGATCGTATACTTAGCGCTGCCGTCTGCAACCATCTGCCGCTCTTCTTCAGCCGCACACATGGGCTGGTATCCATTACGCCCGGCGACTTTGACAGCACTGATTTGCTGAACATGAGCAGCTGCAATTCGCCAGATCTATTTGGACCCATCTCGTTTAATGCGAGTTTTAGTGCGCCAGATCAGAGCATGTTGGGCGACAGCTCCAATAGCTTACCCATGTATCAGTTAGATCCGGATGATGTGTACACCGAGCTCAACAATGAAGTGGGTCAGCTCAAAGCGGCCTTCTTGTATAGGCTGAAACGTAACAACAACATGATGAACACAATCATTGCGGATCTTATGGAGAGCATTGCGGAATCCGATCCGAAAGGTGCGCCCTTGGATGCCTACAAGCTAGACAGGTGAATTTTATAGATGTGCAAATATAAAGCTTTCCTTAATGCGTTGCAAATTGACAGAGTTGTCATCACTATTGCCGAGGACTTGGCTGAGGACTTGCCCATTGCTGATCCGCGCTGGCAGTCGGCCATCGAGGAGTACGAAGGCAATCGTCACGCCCTGGGCAGCTCCCGTTCCATGCAAATCATCAATCAGCTACGCGACAAGAGCATTGCTCTGCAGCATTTTATTGATTTCCTACACTTCAGCGCAGTTTGGGAGAAGGTGAGTAAAATCAACCTCTTCCTCTGGTATACTTCCTTATATGTCTGCCATTGTTATTTTCAGCTCAATGCCATACCCTGTGGCAGTAATGTGCTCAAGCCGACAGCCTACATACTGTCCGATATAAGTGAAAAAATTGTGGCTGCAACGGCATTGCGTGCGATGCAGACCAAAATGCCCAAGCTGGTGGATGAGGCCATTGACATAACCGTCGCCCAATGGGAGGAGAAGCCACAGGGCAGCCTCACTACCCAGGACATCTTTTATGTTAAGCTGTGCAAGTTTCAGTGCATCTTTGAGGCGTTGGCTGACATGGCAGATGATCGCATTACAGCTCAAAATCGGACCACAGCGTCAGTGGCGCAATTTGTCGGCGACATCAACTCCATTGTGCTAGGCACGTTGGGCCAGGTATTGAGGTTTCGCGAACAGAATGTCAGCAGCTTTAAGCTGACAGCCAATTCATATGAAAACCAACCCTGGACAGCCATGTCGGGCACCGCGGGCGCTCACGATGCTCTGACCCGCCTCATAGAAATAAGCGTTCGCTATGCTGCGCAGTGCGTCAACGAGGCAGAGCTGAAGCATCTTCTATATCAGCAAATACTGGAGCTGGCAGACATTGTTCTTGAGGGACGCAAGAACTATTTGGAGAGCGTGCGCGATACGGAAAAGTTTCAGGTGCTGCAGCAGCAGTTCGAGTCGCAGCGACGCGACCTAATCTCGATGCTAAGTAAGTATAACCTTTGACTAAATTTCACCCAATTTATTAACTCTATTGTTCTATTGCAGTCAAGGAGCGACAGTATGAATGCGCTGCCAAGCTGGCTGAAAAGTATTTGGACTTTCAGAGTCTGGTGCTCATTTGTGATGAGACACAGGACAAGGACCGTCTGGATGACTATACGCGCAAGTATGAGGAATATGACTTCTCACAATTCGCCATCAATTGGCATCTGCGTCAACAGCGACATGGTGAGGTCTTTGAACGATTCAAGGGCAACCAGACAGCATTGGCGCAATTCATGCGAGATCATCCGTCGCTCGGCTGGATACAGCTCATATTCAACGGCGACTTCGAGCGCGGCGCCAAAGTGCTCTTCGAGCTGGCCCAATGTGAGACAGAGTATGTGGCACGCAAAAAGTCGATGCTATCGCTGTCCAAGTTGGCCGCCTTTGCAGCGGCCGAGGTTGATTTAACAGCGCAAGTGGAGAAAATCAATGCTGAATTGGTTATCATTGAATACCAATCCCATTTGGGTCACGATGTATTGCAAAATTTTGGGTTTGATGCAAATGATCAGAAGGTGCTCAAAGTGGAGGAGATTATCAATGTAATTCCCATATAGTCGATATGTGAAGTATCAGCCTATTTACTATATAATTTGTTTGTAGCTTTTCATCGCTGAAGAGAACGAAAGCGCCACCGAAGTCGAATTCCGCAAGGCCTTGGAGCTGCTCAGCTATGTGGATCAGCCGTACGATTTGCGACACAAGGTCTGGTGTGCGATCATACGTCGCGACAACTGGACGGACTATGATACCAACAATGCGCTCGACTATATACACAAGCTGTTATTCTATAAGGTCATTGAACTGTCGCAGCTGATGGGTCAGGAGTGCGACAGCGTTTTGCCGCCCATGGAGGATTTTCTGGACAGCGCAGAACTGGGTGAACTGCCACAGCAAAAATCGTTTCAGTATTTACTGAAGCTAGCCTATGAGTATGTGGGCGATATGTATAAACAGACAGAAGACATGGATCTGTAATCAATTTTGGGCATTTGCCAATCTATTAAAACCTAGTTTAAGATACAACTTTTAATGTGCAGCAGCTCTTGGCGCTGGGCTGGTTGGACAGTTGTTCGCTTTGTTGTTGTGCGGCTCAAACGCTTGCATTATAAAATATTATAAACTAAGTTGCTTTGTCAGCTGCTGCTGCTGCTGCCAGCGAAAGTAACTCAAGTGTGACAGACGGAGCGGAAGCCCGCCAAGTGTTGGCGCAACTTTAACTGGTGGGGCACGAACTGCTTGCCTTCTGCTGGCAGGCAGCCAGCTCTTCAGTTCTGTTTTGATCATGACGGACGAAACAACGCCGCTGACCGCCAGCAGCTCCGGCTATGTCGCGCTGCCGCCCTATCAGGGACCCACCTATGTGTTTCCTGGCGGCGTCTCCCCACGTGCGCGTCGCTCCAAACTGAAACAGTTCCAGTGCTGCATAGCGGTGACATTTGTGTGAGTGTTGTGAGTGTGGCATTTCCAGGCAATTACATAAGCAATGTTTTTGAAGAAACATACCGAACGTACAAAAAATCCTAATAGCATAGTACAACAATATCATATAGCTTCTATAGAAAGCATCTAGTCCCAATTTTTTCTTAATTATAATAATTAAAGAGTAGCTCCAGCAGGTGTCTTCAGTAAGCTCAGCACGAGTTGGTTTAGTCCTTAAATAAAAATCAAAATACTTTAACTCCCATATATGTATAACCGATTTCCTTTCAACATATCAGATTGCCACAATCGGTTAATAATTGTTTAGAAATGAATGGCAATTCGGTTAAATGTATGTTATTAGAGTATCTGTTTCTCTGCACTCTGAAGGCAACTTCTTATTGTCATTATACCCTGAACTTATTGATGATGGGTAAATGGGTCTAATCGTCTTGTGCAATGAATGTAACAGGTAGACGGCAGAATATACAATCCCATATAGTATATATATTCTTGATCGTGATGATGAGCTGAGTCAATCTAATCAGGTCCGCCCGTCCGTCTGTCTGTCTGCCCCTCTGTGTGAATGCGTCGATCTTGGAAACTGCAAAAGCTAGAGACTGCAACTTTTCTCGATTACTGTTCAATATACGACGCAGAACATGTATCTTAACTTTTTTTTCGTTATCTTCCATCGGTTTTATAATATCAATAAATATTGATTTTTAGACATGACTCGAGAATTATTCATTCTAAATTAATCAAACTTGGTATCTAGGTTAGGATACCAACCCACATTTCCCTCTTTATTGAAAAAAATACTTATATTTAAATGAAGATCCTTGCGCTTATATAGTATATTTGTCACAGTTAGGTGTCCTGCTTGGGCGCTGAAAGTTTCTTAAGGATCGAACTATAACGACCGAATATATAAGCTCAAGAATGCATTTCCCATAGCATGAGGCTAAGGGGAGCTGAAGCTTTGAATGCTTGTAGCCTTGTTCTGCGCTAGATTTCAGAGTACCTTCTAGTCGGTCTGACTCGATTCCTCTTCATTCCGTTTATGTCGAGTTTGTCATTTGACACCCCTGTTGACCCGTTGTCAACTTTTTAACCACAAGTTAATTTCACTTTCCTGCCCGCAGCGTGATTGTGATTGCCGCCTTGGGCCTGGCGCTGTGGCTGAGTGGCAGTGCGTACGACGGGAGCAGCAGCGACAGCAGCGCGGATGGGCCCAGCTTTTTCTTTGCTAGAAATGAGTCGGAGTGGGAGAGGCTAGCAGGCACCAAGACGCCCATACCAGACGAGCCGGAGTCCGTTTGGGCTCTGCGCCACGAGACGCTCGATCCGCAAGCAGGCGCCCAGGCGGTAAGTGCGGGCATCAAGGCGCTGGGCGATCGTGAGATACTGGAGGAGGGTCTGAGGCCGAGTGCCATAAATACGCCCCAGTTCCGGCACTATCGTTCGCTGAGCACCAATCCGGAGGCGCGCAAGTTGGCGCGGCGCGGTTACGTGGAAAATCAGGCCACGCTAGATATAGCACAGAGATTCAACTACAGCAAACAGCCGGGACGCAGCAATATTGGACGCGGTCCGGCCATAGTGCTGCCCGATCCGATGCTGCTCCGCCTGGACTGTGACATCAATGAGCGCTACAGGCGCAGCACTGGCGTCTGCAACAACAAGCAGCACCCGCGCAGCTTTGGCGCCTCCATGGTGCCATATCGCCGCATGGTGGCGCCGGACTATGCCGATGGCATTGCAGCGCCTCGCGCCAGCCATGGTGGGCAGCTGCCGCCGGCGCGTCAAGTCTCCCTAAGCATACATCGCTCCAGTTACGAAACGGATACGAATTTTACGGTCATGCTGGCGGTATTCGGACAGTTCCTGGATCACGATATAACGGCCACCTCGCTGACCACCGCACAGGAGGGCGAGTCCATTGATTGCTGTGCGCGCAGCGCACTGGAGCAACAGCATCCGGCCTGCTTTCCCGTGCACATTCTCGCGGACGATCCCTACTACAAGCAATATAATGTGACCTGTATGAACTTTGTGCGCTCAGCGCCAGCGCCCACGGGCAGATTTGGACCCCGGCAGCAGTTCAATCAGGCCACGGCCTTCATTGACGGTTCCGTGGTGTATGGCAATCTGGAGCAGCGCCAGCGGCAGCTGCGCAGCTTCATTAATGGCACACTTCGCATGTATATCACCGAGGATGGGCGGGAGCTGCTGCCCATCTCCGCCAATCCGGAGGATGGCTGCAATCGGGTGCAGATGACGCGCCAGGGAAAGTACTGCTTCGAGTGTGGCGATGATCGGGCCAATGAGAATCTGCTGCTCACCTCGATGCATCTGCTGTGGGCCAGACAACACAATTATCTGGCACGTGGCCTGCACCGGCTCAATCCCAACTGGACCGATGAGCGTGTGTATCAGGAGGCGCGCAAAATCCTGGGCGCCCAGTTGGCGCACATTACCTACAACGAGTTCCTGCCCGTGCTGCTTGGTCGCAATCTGAGCCAGGCCAAGGGTTTGTTGCCTGCCCGCGAGCAGCTCGATGCGCCGGACACCTATGATCCCCTTGTGGATCCCAGCATTGCCAATTGCTTTGCGACAGCTGCGTTTCGTTTTGCCCACACGCTGCTGCCTGGTCTGTTCAATGTGTCCAGGGACAATAGCACGCCCGAGGCCATGGAGCTGCACAAGATGCTCTTCAATCCGTTCTCGCTCTGGTCGCCACATGGCATCGACCACGCCCTGCTCGCCGCCTCAAACACGCCGGTGCTGCGCGTCGATCGCTTTTTCTCGCTGGAGATCACACAGAAGCTGTTCGAGGGCACCGCCGAGGATCGTATACCCATTTGTGGACTGGATTTGGTTTCGCTAAATATACAGCGCGGCCGCGATCATGGCATACCAGCCTATCCGGTTTTCCGACGCCACTGCCGCCTGCCCCCAGTAGATACATGGGAGCAAATGGCGCTAGCTGTGGACAACGCCACCTTGGAGTCCATCAGACAGATATACGAGTGGGTAGTACACCGATTGCTTCGAAAGCCAGCTTCTGTTTAACTTTGAGCTCCATCCACCCACAGCTCCCCCCAGGATGTGGATGTCTATACGGGTGCGCTCAGCGAACCGCCGCTAGATGGCGCCATATTAGGGCCTCTGCTTAGCTGTTTGGTCTCGGATCAGTTTATGCGCCTCAAGCTTGGCGATTCGTATTGGTATGAGCGCAAAGTGGGACCTCAAAAGTTTAGCAAGCGTAAGACATTTCAATATGCCTCAAATATAGTCAAATTTTATCATGATTATTATTTCCCATCCTCAGCTCAACTAGCTGAAATATATAAGACCAGTCTCGCTGCCATCATATGTCGCAACTCCGATGGTATCCAACGCGTGCGCCAACATCTCATGGAGCGCCAGAGACCGAACGGTAATCGCTATGTGAACTGTGTGGACTTGGAAGGATTTCAGTTCGATTTTCAACCCTGGTCAGAGGCGAAAGCGGAACCCCAGCTGCACAGGGCGGGCTTCAGTCAAGCCATGACCTTGGTGCGACTCTTCACGATCAATAGTACAAATGGACCGCTCGCTCAAGGATCTGTAGCTAACTGAATAATAAATGCTATTTATAACTATCAATGTCCAGAATACTCGAATTTTATTCAGTTTGCTGCCATACTGATCATAACCTTTTAAAAGGTTTTATATTTTGTACATTCAACGTACATTATTTTTTCAAAAATTTTAAATTAATTTGGGACATAGGTTAAATGAAGTTCAATCTGCGATACACATAAATGTTCTTACTATTTTTGACGAATATGCTTAAAGTTTAGAATTGAAATTCATTAATATTAATCGATAGTCCTGATCTGTAAGAGTTTAAAAAGATAGGATTTTCGACTGATCTGACTTTATTTATCCGAGATATTTCAATTTTAACATATTTCCTCAAAAACGTCTCATTTTAGAAGCGATCCCACATTTTCCTACAAATTGCGATGTAACCCCTTAATATTTTTTATCAAATTTGCTCAAGTTTTAGAATGTGATTTATTAAATGTCAATCGATGGGCCAGATCCGTAAGACCACAAAAAACTATAGCAACTTTACGAAAGATATTTAAATTTTAGAATTTTTTTAAAACTTATTTATATTAATTTCAGTTATTATTTTAGATAAATTAAGTCAAATTGATATTAGGGATTCGGTTTTCTAAGAGATAAAATAGTCGATGTTTCCTAAAGATGAATATATTCTTTTGTAATCATACCATAGATATTGTGCAGGTGCACCTAAGGCCTATGTCCTTGTCGACCTACTTGCCAGTTTTGTTTGCCTGGTAACCCAGCTGGAATTAAATATCTTGCACCAGAGCTCAAATTTTTCATCCCTGAAAGTAGAGTGTATATTTTTCGTATATTTTTTGCGATTTCTAGTGATTTCTGTTTGCCTGGTACTTCAGTTAAAATTTGCATAAAACATCAAGCATCAGCTATATAGCTGCTACCCTCAAAGCATACAGTAGAAATTTGCGATCAAAGAATTTTAGTCAAGACAATTCCAATTTCTGCTCGCCTGTTACTTTGGCTAGGCTTTTCTCTAAGAAACTGGCACATGCCATTTATTTTTTACTTTTTGTTTTTCATGAAATTCTTTTGATTTTTGTTTATTTGACTTAAAATGAATTTTAATATTGATCTTATGATCTTAAGACTTAACATATTTTAAAAAATCGTTTGATTACAATATATATAGTGGACTTTTATGAGTCTAACAAGTTATATCTTTTCATGAAAGAACCTTCATTATGTAATCACTTTCTTCTTAATTTCAAAAGTTGCGCATACGAGATTTCGTAAATTCCACCTGCACAGGTGAAAACGGGATGAAAAACATAAAGCTTAAATTGTAAGAATTGCAATTCCAATTTAATCGATCTATAATCTCGTATGTAATATTAAATATAAATATGTAATAAATCGTAATTAATTTTAATTTAAATGTTAAAGTCAATCAATTGGCTTAGCTGTTTGCATCGCAATCGGCTTATCGCTTAGTCACCAGCTGAACCGAGGGAAGCCGCTGACAAGTGGAGCACTTAAGCGGCGGCTGATGTAATCCAATCCGTGGAATTGCAGCAACTATAATCAAGAGTTCCAGTTCCAATTTGTGTGCTCAGATTAGAGCAAACTATTAGCTGGGCAGCAGCAAGGTGCCATTGGTGGTCAGGGCGAGTGTGGCAGGCGGCAACAGTGTTGTGGCAAGTACTTCTGTGGGCCGGCAGGCTGTGGCATTGTCATGGTAATAGGCCAGGCACAGGGATGCCAAGAGGGTCAGCATAAATGTCAGCCAGAGGCAGGCAAAGCACAGTCGACGCACATTCTGCCACCAGGGATCCAAAGCGAAGGGCAGCAGCTCTTCCAGCGTTAGGCCGTAGGAGAAGCTGTCGAAAATATGTGTGAGTGGAAGTAAAGGTTAGGGCATGAATTTATTATTTAATGAAATGCGACAGTAAGGCGTTTACTCAGCAGTTGTGAAAATGGGCTCATAATCCTTTGGATCCTTGCCTGGCACGACAATGATGTCGTGCGGCTCTTGGTGCTGTCCTCGCTGGTGCCCCGTCGCCAGCAGCGCTGTTCTCTCATCACAGGACATCTTTCTCGCTCTCGTTCCCTCCTGCTCTGACTTTGTCTCTGTCTGTGTATGAGGCCGTGGACTGCAAGCACTCCACTGAAGGCGATGGGCTGCTCCGCTGCTGGACAAATGAAACTGGCGTCTGGCTTTGCTTTTGCTTTGTTTCCAACTTAAATTAGCTTTGCGTTGCGTTGCCGGTTTCATTGCATTTAGCTATACACTTGCAGAGGGTATTTTGAATTTGTAAAGATATATGTAACGCACGGAAGAACCTTATTAAGTATGTGCGACCTTATAAAGTATGATCAAAATTTCGCTATATTTGAAACATATTTTCATTTTTTAGCGAGCAGTATGTATATATAATATCATATAGCTTTCATAGAAACTGCCGATTTAAAAAAGGCTTTATGTTTAAAAACCAAATATTATATAGCTGACCCAAAAGCAGGCAAACCATATATTTTTTAAAAAATTTGTGGAAAATTTGTTTTCTTTTTTTTCAGTACTGATATATACTAAAAATATTAAATTAAAAAAAAAATGTATTAAAAAGAAACCTATTTGTTGCGTTGAAACTGATTATTTACAGTGAAAAGCATTTCTCGATTCAAAAACGGAGTTAATTGATGAACAAAACCAAATACACAACCGAATCTAGGGGACCGATACACCGAACAGTTTTGAGGGCTTGCAACTTTGATAGACACATTTTAAACATGCATCTCGCCTTTAAACACATGTCTGCAAGGGTATTGAAACTTCGGCGTGCTGAGACAGTTTTTATTTGCTGCTTTTTATTGTTATTTGCCTTTTTCTTGAATTTTTTTCAGATTCCTGTAAACAACTTTATCTCGACAGTTGCGTTGTTGTTGTCGTTCTCGTTGTCAGAGTCATCTTCCTCATCTGTGCTCATCTTCCGCCTCCAGCTTTTTGCGCTGATTTCGCTTATCGTAGCGCGCAATTTTCAGATGATAAATTTTTTTTGATTTTTGAAATTGACAGGTCTGCCGTTGATTGCATAACAGCAATTGCCGGGCAATTGTCGCCCAGGTTATACAGTCAGAGTCGCAGCTGCAGCGACAGGCCCCACAGATAAGCGAGAGCTTCCCTCCCCCCACACACACACTTATCGCAGATAAAGAATACAATGTTCTACTTACAAAGTTGAGTTTAAGACATTTGTTTTTTATTTTCATTTGTTTGGGAGGGGTTTAACATGCTTGGAAATACATATACTTAGGTCATATGTACTTAACAATTTCTGTACTCGATTTTGAATAATGCCGTGGAATTCCCTATGAACTAGCTTTCAATATATATAGTCGAACATCAAGTTTAATATATATGTTTATAAAAATGTGCATGCACACGAGTATGGATAGTTTTTATTTGTATGTAGCTGCTGCTAACTGGGTTCGCATATTTGGCTAAGGTTCCGAACATGTCGTGGGACTATTATTATTATTTTTTTATTATATATTATGTCTAGAGCATTTTATTTTGTTTTTATATTTGCATATCATATAGATCGAGAAAACGTTAAATCCTTGAATATTTATTGTGTATTGTAGCAAAGTTATTTGGTGTTTCTTTTGTATTTATTTTCTGAATGCTTATTCTAGACAATATCTGAAGTTAAAGTGCTCTTTAATGATCATAAATCGTATATAGACTAGTATATACTATATCAAAGTGTAAAGAAAAATTTAAATCCAAAATACATCGTAACAAACATGAAATGATTAATACTTTAAATATATTATTGTATAATACATACATATATATTACCGATACGAATTGTTTGCTTAGTTTATAACAAAAGGAAAATTGTTAAGATTTTAAATGAAATATATGGAGAAACTTAAGATAAGTTAAACAAGGCATATAATAAATAGAACGAATAAGAAAAATGTGTTTTGAAAGATCTTTCATGTTTATATCATATGCTTATTAAACTCGTTCTGGCTAACTCTATAGAAATACATACCTAAATTCTATATCGGAAGCACTTTACTCATTTTATTTGCCTTTGCCTTCAAGTTAATCAGTTAACCATTTAATCAGATATTAGCCTTATGCGTAATTTCTGTTTGATATAGATATACTATATAATTTAACTGCTGTCTTTTTGCTTTACTTTTGGACTGTTCTATTTCGTACTGTCACTTTCTATTTGATTTTCTGTTTGCGAATATCAACCTGAATCTGATACGATCCACACGAATCGCCTGTTAACTGCATTATTATTTTGAATATACGAAATTCATAGGACAATCTTCTTCTCTCACATCGTCTACTAAATTAACCTCTTTGCCATCAAATTGTAAAATTTGTTAAGTAATCGAAAACAAAAACCACACCGAATTGAAATAATTGAAAAATTCAATTTAATTTTCAAAGCTTACAGCAAAACATTGATGATATATGCATTAAATACATTGTTCGGCTATTCATAACTTAAATGTATTCAATATTTATATTATTTATTTGTATTTATTTTTGGGTATTATATCTAGATTTGGCGCATTTTCCCATAAAGTTATCATTTTTTAGGTTTTCTGTGTATTTGTATTTGATTATTATGTATTTTATTTTGGTATCCATTCCAAATGTTGTATTAAAAAATATAATAACATTATACAAAAAATACATTCATTTAACAAACTTTTGGTGTTTTGCCTTAATATCGTGTATCGTTTATCGTTAATCGTTAATCGTTTATCAATCAGTTGCTATTTATCGTTTGATCTATCGTTTCAATAGTAGGTGACTAAGTAAATGAAAGTCTTTCAAGTAAGTAGTAGAGTTATGTAGTGCAGTGTAATTAACACTGATGGTCGTACTAAAAGTGCCGCAATTTCAATTGGTCGGAGTTTGAGTTAGAGCTTTGGTTTATTGTTTTTCATTATTTTTTATTGAGTTTTAATTTAGTTTAATCTACAGAAGCAGTTGTTAAATAGTTTGTTGCCTA